GCTACATGTGGCTGTGATGTGTTTCTCCAATGCACTGAATAATTTAACAGTAACAGTAAATCTGAAATTCCCATACGTTGACCATGATACATGTATTTCTGAATTGCACATGTCACATACTCTTATATCAGCTAGGTAATATTTTTATGAGCATTTTGTAATATTATATGTTTATTCCCAAATCTATAAATACTTTAAAACCTTTAGTAATTTTTAAAGTTTTCTGAGATCTGCAAAGAAGAAATCTATTAAAGACAGAAACTATACAGAAAGTGATCTTATTTACCATGGGGGGTGTGAGGGGTCTGGAACTGTTCAGAGCTACGAAAGATAAACCAAAATTTAAAACATAAGAAAGAGCATGATGAGATCAAATGAACTGTGATTAGGGGTTGTATTTTAGGAAATTATTTCAAGATGCTACATACACGATAAAATAGGGAGTAAATAGATAATAAATAAAAGGCTAATATAGTAGGAATGAGAATAACAGAGGAGTTCAAGAAATTTTGGATGTGATCTCTCTTCCAGTGAGATCCAGAAGAAGCTCTGAGTTATTTCCAGGTCCCATAGGAAAATATTCTGATGAATCTAATTAGGACTTCATGTGCATTTTCATAAACTGGATCAATGGGAGAAAAGTAGCATTTGTAACAGAGAACATAGTAGTACCATCTGTAGCTCATTCATTGAGTTTTGGGCATCAGTATGTCCCCGGTGCTTAGTGAAACAAATAAGGGCATTTTCTTTCCCAAATAACTCATATTTAAGAATGAGTTTCCAGATGCCTTCAGCAGAAGAAATTCAGCTGAAGCTGGAACAGTTTATTTCCAAAATCTCACACCCCAAATTCGATGCCACAGTATATGTCAGAAACAGAGGAAGGAACGATGAGGATGCCAATAATGAAATCACAGTTACTTAATAAGACCCAGATCCTTGCAAAGACTCTTAGCTTTAAACATATCAGTAATCCTTTTGAATCACCTATAAGTCATGATGGTCCTTTAAATAGCGGCGTGTGCACGTCCTAAGCAACTGTACAAGAGTGACAGCATGGGCATGGCTGAAAGGCATTGGAAAGTGGGGATGGAGGAGGAGTTCAGTGAAACACGTTTGGCTGGGGTTTCCCAAGCAGAATCACAGCATGGGCAGGTGCCACAAAGTAGCTTCTGCCCCCACACACATACAGATCCCGCTCGGTGCCCCGCAGGCAGCTAAGCAGCTGGGAGAGAGCTGATCACCCTAAGCTGCTTAGTGCCGGGCAGCTCAGAGCTCTAAATACAGATGGCACCCCCAGCACACCACACCACTGCCATTTTCAAGGGTCTCTCCTACTCTTAATTTGGCTTGAGAGGATGGGGCATCTTGCCAAGCACAAAGCAGCAGAATGACATGCTGACCTCTGGGCAGGCTTTTAAGGAGCCAGGGGCAGAAAGAAAAGAGGTATCTGAATTATGATTGTGCTGAAAAATCACAGATCTCCTATATTTCCCCATTTGTAGCTTTATCTTTTTCATAATTTCAATAAAATATTTTTTTTTCCATCACAAAGGGCAAGACAGCTGTATTCATATACAGAATCACAGAATCACTAAGGTTGGAAAATAGCTCTAAGATGACCTGGTCCAACCACCAGCCTACCCCCATCATACCCACTGCCCACGTCCCTCAGAGCCACATCCACGCAGCTCTTGAATGCCTCTGGGGATGGTGACTCCATCACCTCCTTGGGCAGCCTGTGCCACTGCCTCATCGCTCTTTCCAAGAAGAAATTTTTCATAATATCCAACCTAAATATATAAAAATACTGTATTACACCACAAATAATTTGTGGGAATTTCGGCAAAGCCACAAGCTGCAATGAAAATAACACACTATGGGGAGAAACTAAGGAATCTTTAGTCCACATGTTGCTCACTGATCATTCCCAAACTTCAGTCTTGATGGACATCACCTGGGGATTAATGGCATATAAGTTTAGGTGGGTGCAGCAGAGAGATGTTGCCATGCACCAGTCACCCCTAACTTCTCAGCAGTCAGTGCAGAGAAATGGACTTTAATGCCACGGTCACACAGCCTATTTCAGATGTACAGCTGGGGATGAGATGTCACTTCACTAGATCTCCGCTGGACTCTTGGGCTTGCAGACATGGAGATTGTCCACACTGACCATGATGAATGTCTCACTGAATCACAGAATTATAGGATTATAAGGGTTGGAAGGGACCTCTGGAGATCATCTAGTCCAACCCCCTGCTGAAGAATGTTCCCTACAGTAGATTGCACAGGAGAGTCTCCAGGCAAGTCTTGAATATCGTCAGAGAAGGAGTCTCCACAGCCTGTCTGCTCACTTCTACTGACCACTGAATTCACTGTTTGTCCTCTTCTACTCTGCACTTCTGGGGCCCCATCTGGAGTACTGCATCCAGGCCTGGGACCTCCAGCACAAAAATGACATGAAGCTGTTGGAGTGGATCCAAAGTAGGGCATGAAGATGATCAGAAGGCTGGAGCACCTCTCCTGTGAGGAAGGTCTGAGGGAGCTGGGCTTGTTCAGCCTGGAAAAGAGAAGGCTCCAGGGAGACCTCATTGCAGCCTTTCAGTACTTGAAGGAAGATTATTAACAGAAGGCAGACAGTCTTTTTACATGATCTGGTAGTGATTGGACAAGGGGGAATGGCTTTAAACTAAAAGAAGGGAAATTTAGGTTAGATGTTAGAAGGAAATTCTTTCCTCAGAGGGTGGTGAGGCGCTTGCACAGCTGCCCAGAGAAGCTGTGGTGCCCCATCCCTGGAGGTGCTCAAGGCCAGGTTGGATGGGGCCCTGGGCAGCTGAGCTGGTGGGGGGCAGCCCTGCCCACGGCAGGGGTTGGAACTAAATGATCTTTAATATTGCTTCCAACCCAATCCATTCTATGGTTCTATAAAACGTAAGTGGCATTTTTTCCTTATCTTAGGATGCAAAATGATAAGTGCATGATTCCCCACGCAGTGAAGGGAGGAAAGGAAGTGACAATAATCCAAGCGAATGCAGCGTAATTGATAGGACCTCAGGATGCAGCATGCTTCCAGCAGGCTGTGAGGGGATCGCCATGCTGCCCACTAATGTCGAACATATGTGATATTTAATTACCTGCGCTCAGCTTCTAAATGAAGAAGGTGTGCAGTAATCCTTCCCAAAGCTGAACTAGGGAAATAATATTTATTAGCTGAGGGCCTGTGTTAGAAACAGATGGGATGTAAAGAGCTTGAAGACAGTGTAAAAGAGCACCAAGTGGGAGAGATTAATTGTTAAGTAATTGCCCAGTAATTGAGAGAAGAGTGTTGAGCAGAGTGGGCTGCTAAAGCAGGCAGCACGGACCCAATCACATGGCATTGCCAGGTCCTAACTCCACCAAAATGAAAAAAGCATCTGTGTGTATACCTGTGGAAACACACAAAGGATGGCAGTGCTCATGGCTTGCCTACTCTGCTGCCTCCAGCTCTGCTCTGTCTTACGTGTAAAATGCTGTACATGGGGTGCAACCTTTGGGCCACCTGTTATGGTCCCTTCAGCAAGACCTGAGATGAGTGAACTAGCCCTATCTGTGTAGAAATAGAGGTGACTGAGATGTGTCAGCCTACTGATATTAGAACCCATAAGAGAAGTGAAATAATTGCTTAATTATGGGTCCAACTACAAGACTGCTATTGCCAAATGCTAAACCCATCATTGCCAAGTGTCCAGAAGCATCCCTGATGACCACAGCTGCCCAGCAGGTCAGGCTGCATCTCCCTGTTCTTCTGCCTCACTAGCAAAGCAACTCCAGGCAAGCACAACTTCTATGGAAAGTGTCTGTCAGATTATTATCAGAGTGGGTATTTGTCTGACTGAATTATTTATTTTTCACTGTTGCCTGTCTCCTGTTGGCTGAACTTTCTCTGTTTCCATCCACTCAAAAATCTATCTTCAGCCCACTCTTTCCACATCCAAACATACAAAGTGGTTTTATATACATACACATGCATCACAGTGCTGAACTGCGTGCTTTTTCTACCTTCTGCTTCCCCTTGTCAGCTCACTTTTCCATCCACTTCCCCCTCTGCACCTTAGAAAACTAGGAACTACTTTCTGTTAGCAGGGGACAAATAGGGATGGTGTGTGGCATGGCTTTGGAATGGCAATGGGGTTTGGGTCTCCATCACTTGACTCTGTGATGCCTCCACAGTCTGGATATCCATCACCCAACTCAATGATGCCATTAGGGTTTGGATCTCAGGCATCACTGGGATCTGGATCTCCAGCATCTGACTGTGATGCCACTGGGCTCCAAATCTGTCACCCAAATCTGCTGCCACTGGAGCCTGGTTCTCCATCACAAAAATCTGGGGTTGGAACCAGGTGATCTTTAAGGTCCCTTCCAAGCAAAGCCGTTCTATGACCTGTGAAATAGCGAATGCTTCTCTACCATCAGCACCACTAGACTTGAGGGAGTGTGGTTGGAGCAGGCTGCACCTCCTACTAAATGATTTCCTCTTGCCTACAAGTAAAATCTAGTAAAGATGGTTCTCACACCAGAACCCACCGATCCTCATTTTTATGCAAAGTACTTCCATAAACGAGAGAAATTATCAAGCGTGAAAGTTGGAAGAGAAGGCAGCCTGGGGGATGAACCTGAACCCACAGCCACCTTCCCCAAACCGGCAGCTTCTGTAAGGCTTCGTGCTGATACCACGGGACAGAAGCCCGGGGGGTAGAAATGGGGTCGGGGAGGGGAAGCGAGCTCGGGCTTTCCCCGGGACGAACGATTTACCGGGGCAGGTTGGCTGCAGAGGGAGAGGACCCGTCGGGGCAGCAGGGAGGAGGAGGAGCACCGCACCTGCCTCCCCCTCGCCGCCCTCCCTGCCTCCGCCCGCAGCGCAGGCGCGGCCGTTCCCCCGCTGCTCGTAGGTGTCCAGCACTGATCCCGGTACGGTGGTTGCGGTTGCGCTCGTGTCGGCGGCGCCCCGGGGAGGCGGTATGGCGGAGAGCCCGGGTCAGCCGGTAGGGAGCGACGAGCCGCGGGGAGCGGGCGAAGAAGAAGGCGCGGAGGCAGTGGGGAAGCCGCAGACCGTGCTGTGCCCCGATGGGGGAGAGGAACCCACTGATGAGTCCTCCGACGGCGGAGGGGGTGCCGGTGGGCAAGAGGAGGCCGCCGTGCTCAACGAGGTGCCCGGCGAAGAGGGTGGTGGAGAGCCCGGAGGGGTAGCGGAAAGCCAAGGAGCGGGGCAACAGAAGGAGGCAGAGCTGCCGAGACCCGATGGGGACGGTGCGGCTCTGGAGGGAAGGGAACCGGCAGCGGCCGCGGGACTGGAGTCCGCGCCGGCGGGGGTAGAGCCAGAGCAGGCGGCGGGGAAAGTGGCTCTGGTGGGAACAGAGCCCGAAGAAGCGGCGGTGGCCCCGGCGGTAGCAGAGCCCGAAGAAGTGATAGTGACAGCCCCGTCGGGGTCGGACCCCGAGGATGTGGTACAGGGGGTGAAGGCGGTGGGAGCAGAACCCGAAGAGGCGGCCCCGTCCGGGACGGTTCCTGAGGATGCAGTGAGAGAGGAAGCCCCGTCCGGTACGGTCCCCGAGGAGGCAGCGAGAGAAGAAGCTTCGTCGGGACCAAGCCCCG